GTAAGAGAAAGAAGACAGTATCTAAGCACACTTGTTCTGCCTTAAATACAATTTTTTAAAATGCTCTTTACAGAAACACAGGAGATTTGATTATTCTTGACTGTCAGAACCTATAGGCTGAATAGCCTCAACTTCCCCTTCCTTATGGTTTTAAAAATACCAAGGTGTTTCTTTACATATAGGACAGCATTTAACAGTTCTCAGTACTCACCTAAAAGTACCCCTCTCCACATCCTGTCCACTTAGTCTGACGTGGATCCCTTCCTTCAGAAAAGAGCCAAAAGCCATGTATTCTGCTAAGGCCCAGTCCACAACCCTGTTCTTGGTCATTTCCAAGCGGGCTCTCAAAATCCGAGAGAGTCCTACATTGGAATAAAGATCAGAAATGTATTTTATATTCACATTACATTCACAATTCTCCTTCTCCTCTGGCTGAATTAAACACAGAGCCTAACTGGGTCTATAAATTGTTCTTCTAGAACTGAACTGCTAGCGAAGTAAAATAACTTGTTTCCCAGGCACACGGTTGCATAATGTTCATACCCTGTTTTAGAAGAAGAAAATGAGATTGGCTCTGTCAGAAACTACTCAGGACAATTAAAGAGACTCATGGTGAAATACTTCTTCCTAAAGATTTATTTTCACATCTCTAACACCCAGTACTGTTTTATAAGAGACTGAAAATATCAGCTATTGGGTGTGTGATTTTTTTCTTCTCTAATATTTTCTTGGCATTTGTCTTACTGGACTTCAGGAGATGTTACTAAGAGAAATAGGCCAGATTAATCAATACTATGAATGTCACATAAATAAGAAGTTGTAGCAGCTGCCAACAGATTTTCAGGGTTTGTTTTTTTTTTACAGCGAAAATCTTCTAACTTGGTAAGCCAAAACACAAGTTACATCACTGCGATTTTTAAAGGGAAAAAAACTTCAAAGCTGCACATAGGTACTTCTAGCTCTGAGGCTATAAGCCTAGCGTATTCAGTGTCACTTGGCACCATCTTATTTTCACACCCACGCTGATGCATTTGGCAAGCTGTCCTATTTGCCATTTTCCCAAATCTCCCTTTGCTACTTCCTCCATTTTACAAAAATTGCCCCGCTTTCTTTCCACATAAAGCTATCCTCTCATCAAAATTACTGCATTTTAAGTAAAAAAAATACTTGAACATTTTCTCTTTAGAATGTACTAAACATTTGATAAAATAATCTTCCAATTGTTTGTTTAAAGACTGCAAGATATTAAGCTGTTTCACTGTAGTGGAAGGACAAAGTACTTCTAAGTTGCTCTTCCCCTTCCAATTCTCCCAAAATTTTCTCTCTCATGGCCTTCTAAACTGCATAAAAGAATCTAGCAGACCAAAGTTTGCTGTGAACCATAAATTTATCCTATATACTGCCAAATGTTACTTGGTGTCAATAGCTAATCAAGTAACTAAAGAGAGACCCTCTTACCTTTTCAATCAGAATGTCTACTATTAAAATTGTATTGGTTGACTATAATTTCAAATTTATCAGTGTCACAACAAAGTGCACAAATGTGTAGAAGAGTTTTAAAGCTGATCAATTAACTGCATCTGCTCAACAAGCTTCCAATTGCTAACTAGGAATACCCTACCATCATTACTTGTAGCAGTGTTTACAAAGGAACAGTGTCCAAAAGGAACACAAATACAGAGAACATCTACAGCAGACACACTCTATTCCTTAATGGATGACCCTGGAGAAGAGATCAGCTAGAGATTTTCCCCCCGCCCCCCCCAAAAAAGAGCTCTTTCTCCTGATCCTACCATTCCCTACCAGCCAACAAAAGCAAAAAGATCCCTAAACAGAGTGTCTCCATGTTTCCTCACGGAATGAAGATGTTATTGGTCCCTGTAGAGCTGTTAGACTTCAACCTGACCAGAGAGTAAAAGAATGAACTCAGAATGTGACACAGAGCCAGGCGCTCCCCAGTAATACAGGCACATTTAACTTCCTACTGGAATAGATGCTGAATTCAGAATTTAATCTCTTCAGACCAAAAACTAAGGCTTCGTAAGAAAACACTAGATTTGTGCTATCACCAACACTAAATGATGATAGAAGGGTTGAAAGAAAAACTGTATCCAAATTTGCCCACAGAGTCCATTCAGCTGCACTAAAATTAGGCTCATAGTGGACCAGCAGCGTTGCCAGGTCTGAACCAAGCTAGATAACTTTCTACTTAGGAATATAACTACAAGAAGTGTCTTAAGTGGACCTCAAATTACCACTGGTTTTAGCAATTTAAAAAAAGAAAAAGAATAAAAATTAATAGTGCTTCCTGAGACTTCCTGAGACAGGTGCCTTACTTCCCAGTAAGTCCCACAAACATGCTGCAGAGTCAGCATTTTCCACAAGGACCTGAAGAATGAAAGGAGGTATTACCGTCACAAAAAGATTTTTACCTCCCTCAGAGGAAAAACTATTTTAATGATGTAGGGAACAGAAGTGGCATGTTCCTGAAAGAACATTATGCTGAGAACAAGCAGCAGGCCTCAACTGTCATATTCTCCTTGCTCATAGGGTAGAAGAGTTCAAATAAAAGTTACAGCCATTCTCCTCTTCGGGAAATGGTTCGACAGCAGTTCCATGCAGAAATATAAAATCTGAGCAAGAAACGCAGCCACTAGGAGAAACAAAGGCTCCAGCTGACCTGCATGTATCTTGAAGTCTTTGACTGGCACTGAACTCGCTACATTGCCAATGTGAGTCAGCAGGTCTTCTGAAATGCCAGTTGGAGGACAAGACATGCTCTTGGGTTCTCCATCCACGTTGAAGAATCCTGGAAGCCAAAGATATGATGAGATATTCAAGGATTCATTAAGAGATGTCTGCACTAATAATTTATTTTAAAACTCATAACTCTTAAAAGACATTCTAAGCAGCAGCCTAAACCTAGTTCTGCACCTTTCACTGGTAGGCACCATCACTTTGAATGTCTGCGTGACAGCAGAACTTGATCTTACAGGCACACAATAATCTGTTTTTTCTGCTTTCACTTCCTTTGAAGTCCAACCATATGGGCAGAGGCAGCCAATAAAAGGCATATGGCACCTCAGTCCCTCAAAAAAATAAATAAGACATACTCCCTCTTCCTGAAGGCACAGACAGTTAAACATTACAAGAAAAAAACTTCTCTGCTAAACTAAAAAGACATCTTTTTCAAAGTCACACCTTACTTTGCGTGTTTTTTTTAAGAAAAGCACCTCTTTCAAGTTGATCTGGCAGAATGTTCTATTTATCATTAACAGGGACAAAACAAAGGTCACATATTTTAAAGGATCACTGTCTGATAAACATTTAAAAGTCCTAGAATATGGACTCAAAATAAAAACACAGTAACATGAACACCAGGATAAGTGAAAGGACTCTTCTTACCAGGCCAAGGTGAATCAAGCCAGTGCTTGATATGTAGGATCTTGTTATCCTTTGATCTAGTATATGCTTCTTCACATATTCTATCATACTTTGCAATTTCTTCCTGTAGAACAAAACCTTTTTTAAAATGCATAAATGTAACACCTTGGTATCTTATAGATGGCTCCTACCATTCAGTATGATAAAACCAGTTCTTTAACTCCAGAAGAAAATTTACTTGCAATTATGCAATCAAACAATTTCATTGTATCTAGGATCAAATTGCCTTCTAGAAACATGTTTACCCACACTAGTCTAAATAAATTGTTTAGTTTACTAGACAGGTTAATTAGAGGAGAGTTCCAAGAGCTGAAGTCGCAAGCAGTACTCTAGAATGAGACAGAACTGAAGTACCAAATATAATTTACAGTCATACTTCTAAGATCAGCATTACCCACTCTCATACTTCAGGCTACAGAAGCTACTAAAGACTAGAAAAGAACCTCCTAGAAAACTAGTCTGGCCAGGAGAGTTTAGCTAAGAATCTGCTGGCCACACCTACCAAAGCCATAGGCAGAGAGCCCCTCTGCCTCTGTAACATCTACGTTTCAATCCAAAACCACAGTCAAGTTACTGAGCTAGCTCATCTTTAAAGTAATTAACAGCAATGCTGAGCTAAGTCTGTACAGCAAAACATCCATGCAGGATCCTGGATCCAGTCACCAAAGCCCATGTCACTGCTGGCACACACTCACGATTCAGGACAGATATTTCTGCATGAGCTGTGATCTTTCTTGCAGATAACAGAATGCACCTACGCAAACTGCTTTTTGTTGATCTGCAATACTATGTCACTACACAGTCACACCTTGACAGAAGGTCCTTTGTTGCATCTGCACTCTACACATTCACTTTCAAAAAGACAGAGTTAAAGACCTAACCAGCTTAATATAGGCAACTGCCTCTACACTTCATCCTTCTGGACTATTTCAAATGATCTTTGAATTTAGTTGAATTATTGCAAGAAAATTAAAAGGTTAAATTTATGTTATTACATTATTGCTGGATACAAGCCTGCCAAGGTTCTCAATAAGAAGCTACAGTTAAACCTACGAGCATTCGCATACTGTCTTACTGTGGAATCAAGACTCTAGAGATGAAGAACAGCTGACAAGTGACTCCATCTCCAACATTCACTTCTGGTCACCTTTTACAGAACTTACTCAGAACTGAAGCAATTCCTTTTCTGTGCAATATGTATTAATTACTTCACAGCACCTTCAGTCCTTTTGTTACAATACTATCTATCTACGTGAAAATCAAAGCCAAATTGAATCAAAGCGTCAAAGGGTGAAGACTTAACACAGTAACGAAAGGAAGGTTTTTAAGCAGACCGCATCTAGTGGCAGTTGTGTCTTCCTACTGACAGCTTCTGAAGTTCCCTTTAACTCTGTTGATGCGTACCTCAAACTCCTGCAGTGTTACAGTCCCATCCGCAATCAGTTTGTCTGCATACTTCTTCAGCACCGGCACCTGCTTATGAATCTGCTTGTACATTAGAGGCTGGGTGAACATCGGTTCATCCATTTCATTGTGCCCTCTCCTACGGTAACAAACCTACAAGGGGAAAGACTGTTTCTGTTGGTATGCAAAAATGTAAAATGAAACTTTTAAATGTCATCGTTTAACAGAGATTTTAGGAGGTTTATGATATAACAACATTTATGGATTCTTGTGGAGCTATTAGATGTTTGGGGTTTTTAAATGAAGAAACTAAAGGCCATTAAAATCAAAGTACGCTTCTTGACTGGGTCTTCTAAGCCACAGAAAAACAAAGGAGTAGTACCTAATACACAGAATGAAAAGTTAAGAAAACCGAGACTTACCAAGTCAACCACCACATCTTTATTGAATGTGTTTCGCCACTCCGCAGCTACGCTGCACACATACATCACTGCTTCAGGGTCATCAGCATTCACATGGAAAATGGGAGCATTGACCACACGGGCAACATCAGTAGGATATGGAGATGAACGGGCCATACGAGGGTCTGTGGTGAAGCCAATCTAAAAATTCCAGAAACTTCCATTATAATGAGGGCATCTCCCTCTACTCTGTTCTCAATGCTTGAGGTTTTCATTTAGTAGTCATTTACACAACAGCAGTACAAGTTTTTCATTTTTATTAGCTAGCTTCTTTGTGCTCCCTTAAAAACAAAACAAAGTCAACCTCATCCCGTTAAGTGTTATAAATTGAATTAAATAAATGTAGGTCCACTCAGAGTTGCTAGATAGTACGATCATTTTCAGGAACATCTTAACCATTCTAATAAACAGAGAGGACAATGCACCTAGCTAATAAAAACAAGAATAAAAAGAAACTAGCAACTACTCAGCAGACAAATTGATTGGAAAATGCCCTACTTGTTACCTGGTTGTTGACCACAACGTGGATAGTGCCATTCGTGGTGTAGGATGGGAGGTCACTCAGATGAAATGTCTCATAAACCACTCCTTGTCCTGCAAAGGCAGCGTCCCCATGTAATAATATGGACATAACCTAAAAGGAAGGATTATATACATATATTGACACATACATTAGAAAAAAGCCCCTGCAATTTAAACTTCTCAGCAGGATTTCTTTGCTCTGTATTTCTGTAGCACTTATAAAAGAGAGCAGTGTTTTTACGTAGACTTGTCAGCATTCTGCTGCCTTGATCAGTTCACAAATAAAGGTTTTAAGCCTACTTCCTGAAGTTACCTCTGACATAATGTGCCAAAAACCTTATCTAGTTCAACAGGTGGTATCTCCCTTTTGTGAAGGGGGAAGAGAAGATTGTAATACAAAAGTACTGATAAATTATTTTTATTAAAATTAATACCGAAAACTACCAGTAAGAGCAAAAACTAAAAAAAAGTTTTAAAAATTAAAAAATTATTACCTTTTTCCCTGCCGTATCCCCTCGATAAAACTGTTCAGCTTTTGTCTTCCCTTGCACAACAGGATCAACTGCTTCCAAGTGAGAAGGGTTAGCCATCAGGGACAGAGTGATCTTCTTGTTTGTAGCGCGGTTGATCCTCTCATGGTACATTCCCAGGTGATATTTTACATCCCCGGATCCCTAACATGCAAGATGTAGTCACAGTTCAGGAATGTCATTCACACCAGCTGCATCTGATTGACACCTAAAATTTGTGATTCAGTCTGAAAATTGCATCTAGACAACTGCACATTAGTATGCGCTATAGATTTTACACTGCAATTTCAAATGTGAACACTGTTCCTATTTTATTATCTTAGTGTCACTATCCAATATGGGATAAATTCTTACAGAATATTGATAGTCATTTTACTTATATGAAACAAAGAAACATGCCTAGAGGCTACAAACTCAGTCAAATGACCTGGAACTTACTTATCTAGTCATTCCTAAGAAATCTTCTGCATGTTAGAGGTACAGTACAGTCTTTTAAATTTATTAAGAAATTTCACCGCATCATATTCCTCAAACTAGAAAACAACACATTCCAGCAGCTGATAATGCTATTTTTGTAATAACCATGACCAAAATGACTAAAAACTACCTTGAATGTTGACCTCTCTGTATAGATCTATTGAAGAAGCATCTTACCTCATCAGCTGCTTCAAGTTTGGGATCAAATTGACAGAAGATCTGCTCCAGCTCTTTTCGGATTACGTTAGCCAATACATTCAGCCTACCTCTAAGAAAATTCCAAACAGTTATGTCTCAAAAATGGTAATAACAGAGTTAACAGCATAAAACTTGTAAAATTAGCAAGCCATCTCTTTCAGAAATTTGCAAGTAAGAAGTTCACTTTAAACTTTTGAACCTGACACCCTTCATTCTACCCTCCTCCTCCCATTGCAAAGTTCCTCCAATGCATTCTCACAGACAGTTTACAATACCTCATTATCCAAGTATGAGCAATGAATTCTGTAGCTATCTAGCAGTTTTACCATGATGACATGAATAGTTCATTTATTACAGCAGACTGCAGTCTGACACTACCTCACCAAGGTTTCCCAGTTACAGACTCAATGCAATGGGATAGATACCATGGCTGCCGTCACATTTGCTTGCAGCTTCAAAGTACACTGCAGAGTTTTGCTAGCATTTACCTGTGAAGCCTGTAGCCTCTCATGGACAGGTATTTGTTACAGTTCTATGTTCCCATTACTCACTGTGACTGACTTTTCCTACCACAGCTTTATAATATCAAGTCTAGGACCCAAAATCTGTCTAGTAAGACAATAAGCAGGTTTGTTGTGGGGTTTCCATTGACATTACCTATGAGGCATCCCCATTATAACATATTCAATTCCCATTTCACTGGATTTATCAATGATGGTCTTCAGCGCAGGAATCATTACTTCACATCCTTCCAAACCAAATCTCTTTTCAGAAGACCACTTGCGAGCAAGGAAGTCTTCAAATCTTTGCCAAAAAGAAACCCCCAAAAAACAAGAGAGAGTGTATTAAGATAACGTAGAAATACTTATTGTCAAACATCTTTTCACAAATAAAATTACATTACACTGTTTCAAAACATTTGTGAATACATGCTTTTAGGCCTCTGGAAGTCATGTGTAGGGAGTGAGACATAGGAGAGAATTAGAGTCTTCTTTCTCCTCTGAGGAGTATTTACCAGGACTTTGAAACAATTCACGGAGGAAGAAGTCTCCACCTCAGACAAAATCCATTTCCCAAGTTAAACTCCACACATTCCCATGTATACAAGATGTATACTGACCACTGGGAAGGCAGAGTAACAGCAAAGCAGTCTCTTCTACGGATTGAAGAAGACATAAACATATTTTCTGGATGTAATGATTAAACACAATAGAAAGCATGCTTATTTCATAGGTCCTATTCAACAGCAGGGCTCCTCAGACTGTGTGATGTTACTGGTGGTAACGTGCCAAGAACTAGGACACTGGTATCTCTGCCCCAGCTGCAGCAAATGAAAGATGTCAATCCTTAACAGCTCTATGTTCTTTCATTCCTTAATGCATTTGGGCCACAGGCAATGTGAGTGGCTAGAAAGCACATTTTCACAAACACCAAAAGGATTATATGTTGTAAAGCATGGAGATACAAAAAGCAAAGAAAATACTTCTTCCTGAAAATAACTGTATTGGTTACATCATCTGTGCAATGCCATGACGCATAACACTGCCATAATGCACTAACACTCAGCTTATTCCTTACTTAGAACGCTGATATTTATCTCTTTAGACTGAAGTCCTAAAAGCAGTGAAATGCAGAGTTGCCAAAAGACTCTTCTTAGCCCACCCATTGATACCATTACAAATCAGGCATTTAAGCAACAAGCCAGACCCTCAGCTGAGCTATGCTGCCAGAATTACTCAGGGAGGCCTGTGGGGCTATGCCAGTTTATACAAACTGAAAGCGGAGTCCCACATGAACAGCAAGTCCTATGGGGCAAATCAAAGTGGTGGTTGTTGTATGGGCCTGGCCTGGCCTGGTGTGGGTTAAATGCCTCAAAGCAGGTGATTCTAGCGACCCCCCAGTGGCAGGAATGGCCGTGCTGGAGAGCATGTCCAGACCTACCCAGGCGAGGGGCCTGCTGTGTGCCCTATTGCCTGGTACAGGCAAGGGGCATGAGGGAAGAGTTTAAATACCCCCCCTTAAGCCTGTGATCACCCACCATTTCGGTTTCTTGTTGGTATTCTGTCGCCCACGGGTTGCTGAAAGGTTTGAATCCAGTGTTTTTTCAAAGGCATGTATCTTATTTAGTAAAAATATTGCTTACACCCTTCTCCTGAGTGATTTGTATCGCTCTGTCGCCATGCCAGGATAGAAGAGCTCACTTTTTAAAGCGGGCCGTGACAGTTTTCACTGTTTACACACAGTTTTCCTCCTCTTTGCAGCTGCAAATTAAGTGTTGGACAAGCAGCAAGTTCGTTATTTGAGGCAAACTGCCACTAAGTGTGCAGAACTACAATATTTCAGTCACATCTTGCACGTACACCATACGCCACTGTGTGTACACAAGGGCTGGCAGCTCATCTGCTGTCACTGCATGTGTTCAAGACACAAAGAGGAGCAAGTCTTACAAAAGATGGTTGCTCTCAGAAGGGAGAATCTAGAAATGCTTGACCCTGTACAGGCTTAAGATGCCCAGATGAGAGACTACACAATCACGGTCTAACACGTTTATTAATGCATATACAAAGTAGCTCTAAGATACACGAGTACTTTATGGGAGGAAGAGTTTAAAATGACCCTTTGTTCAATAACCTATCAGTGAGCACCACAAAGGAAGAGAAACCCTACTTTAAAACTCAGTTTCAAGTACCTAAAGTATGTAGTCCTTGGGATGAACATTTTTGAAAACAGTATTCTTGAGCAAAATGCTGACTATCTGCTTTACAAAGCCACAAACTTCAGCAGCAAAACCAGTTTTGAACAACCCAGATATTTATTTTAATCATTTTGAGCCAAAAAAAAGCACACTAGAGACAGTTGAACAGAAATTTATGCAAAACTTTTTTCTTCCATTTTCAGCAGACAACCTGGCAGAAGATGAACACTCCGCTCCTTCATGCTACCAGAAATCTTTCCACAGGCAGGAATAAAAGCAAAATTCTTGTCTCAAGATAAATGCAAATGTTTCACACTGAGGGCTTGTTAAACAAACTTACTGAAGTGCAATATTCATTTGACCATTAAGTGTCTTTTTTATTTCTGTTTAAATGAAACTTTTAACCAGACAATCTTGCTATAATATTGGCACACAAAACCTAGCAAAAATATCTTTCGACACCTCCAATGAGTACTTCAGGTTTAAGTCTTTGAACATAGAAGCTTAATAAAAAAATGTGTCTTCATAAATCTCTAACTCTTGTGTTTATCAAAGGATATGTAAACTGTTCCACATTGTCAGAACTGCAGTAAATCTTGTGTCTGAGAAGACAGACTTGTTCTAGGGGCGAGAGGGTAATTCAGTCTCTGGAATCACAGTATTTCCATACAGATAGCCACAATGGAAGCAATCAATAAGCTGCTTCCAAACATGCTTTCATATATTGCAGAGAACAAAACTCCTACTGCCAGGTCATGCAACAGCGTATCTTGGCATACCTCAAAAGTAAAAGGGCAAAACCAGGACCTGAAATCCCATTATGCCTCTCAAATCCAGTCCCATCTTGGCAAAGTGTTCCAAAGAGACTGTCAGCATCCCAGTGAGTCAAACAACATTCATGCTGACATTTCACCCACCTAAAAACTCTCCTTGAGCTGACTGTTAGGATGGCTTCCTTTGATCACATGCTACTAGAAAGATGCACAGTAGCTAGAATATAGCAGAAGATCAGTGTCCAAAGTTGTTCTGACACCTATTTTCTGAAACAGGCTATGACTCTTTAACAGAGATGCATATTACTAGTCTGTTGAAGCCATTTTTTCCCAGTGTATCTCCTCAAGCCAATGAAAACACTGCCAGATATGCCACTAAAGGCTGCACAAGTGCTACAGAAACAACCTTTTAAGAAAATAGAACGCTAGAAGTCACTACACAGACCCTGATATACCTCACAGCACACACTTTCCCTTGCTATCGCTCGTTAACTACGCTGACCTGTACTCCAGATTTCACTTGGACTCTTCACCTCCACCTCGGCAGCATACAGACCCCACCAGCTTCCCACAGCAGCTTACACCCAGCAGCCACAGAGCAGTTTTCCAGCACCACCACAGCGTACCTCATGGAGCGCACCAGCCTTGCCAACAAAGTCCTTTTTTCCTCATTAGTAAACTTCATAACACCCGGCGTCTCAAACTTCTGCCGGATCCACTGGCACTGCTCCACATCATTGATGAACATAAACTCCAAGCCAATGTGTTGGCAGTAGGTATTCTAGGATGTAAAAACACCAACACAGAAGCTTTAGGAGTTAATGGGCCATGAAGGAACAAATATGTATTTTTCATTATATTTTGTTACTCTTTTGAAAGCTATCTCGTCTTCTTCCTCTTCCAATATATCTCGCCCACACTAATCCTATGAACAAATAATTTATTTCTTATATTATTATTTAGAATGGACTGAGCTCTGTCCAGGGGCAGATGAAGAGTGAGTTGAGAGCTTGTGGGTAAGAATCAAGGGGCAGGCTAATATGGGAGACACTGTTGTGGCTGTCTATTACAGACCACCTGATTGGGACGAGGAAGCTCACGAGGCCTTCTACAGGCAGCTGGAAGTAGCCTCACAATCACAGCCCCTGGTTCTCATGGAGGACCTAAATTACCCTGACATTTTCTGGGAAGGCTACACAGCCAGGCGCTCGCAGTCCAGGAGGTTCCTGCAGTGCACTGATGGTAACTTCTTGACACAGGTGGCAGAGGAGCCAACAAGGAGAGGCATGCTGCTGGACCTTGTTCTGACAAACAAGGAGGGACTGGTTGAAGATAAGAAGGTTGGGGGCAGCCTTGGCTGTAGTGACCATGAGATGGTGGAGTTCAGGATCATGTGCAGTAGTCACAGAGCAACGAGCAGAATCACAACCCTGGACTTCAGAAGGGCTAACTTTGGCCTAAGGAACTGCTTAGAGAAATCCCATGGGATAGGGCACTAGCGAGTAGGGGGGCTCAAGAGAGTTGGTTAATATTTAAGTGCCTCCAAGCTCATGATCAGAGCATCCTGATGAGCAGGAAATCAAGCAAGGGAGCCAGGAGACTGGCATGGCTGAGCAGGGAGCTGCTGATTACACTCAAGTGAAAGATGGCATTTTCTAGAACATGGAAGAAGGGGCTGATCACTTGTGAATAATACAAGAATGCTGTCAAGAGGATGTAGGGACGCAACAAGGAAAACTAAGGCCTCCTTAGAATTAAACCTTGCAAAGGAGGTCAAGGACAACAAGAAAGGCTTCTTTAAGTACATTAGAGGCAAAAGGAAAGCTAGAGGACCGAATGAAGTGGATACCCTGGTGATGGAGGGTACAGAGAAGGCAGAGTTACTAAATGCCTTCTTTGCCTCCATCTTTATTGCTAAGGACAGCCCTCAGGAGTCCCAGACCTTTGACCACAGAGTAAGTTGGGAAAAAGGAACATGTTGAAGAGGATTGGGTTAGAGAACAATTAAACTGGACATCTACAGATCCATGGACCTCGATGGGCTGCACCCAAGAGTACAGAGGGAACTGGCAGAGGTCATTGCTAGGCCACTCTCCATCATCTTTGAAAGGTCCTGGAGAATGGGAGAGGTGACTGAGGGCTGGAGAAAAGCCAATGTCACTCCGGTCTTCAAAAAGGGTAAGAAGAAGGAGGCAGGTAACTACAGACTGGTCAGCCTCACCTCCAGCCCTGGAAAGGTAATGGAACAGCTTGTTCTTGGCACTATCTCAACACATGTCAAGGAATTGAGGATTATCAAAGGATTCACCAAGGGGAACTCATGCTTGACCAATCTGATAGCCTTTTACAATGGCATAACTGGATGGATTGATGAGGGGAGGGCAGTGGATGTGGTCTACCTTGATTTCAGCAAAGTGATGGTGACTCGTTACACCATCTCCCATGACATCCTCACAGCCAAACTGAAGAAGTGTGGATTAGATGGCTGGATATTGAGGTGGATAGGGAACTGGCAAAAGGGCAGAACTCAGAGTTGTTCTCAGAGAGAACTCTACTCAGAGGCCTGTGTCTAGCAGTGCTCCTCAGGGGTCAGTACTAGGTTCAGCTCTGTTCAGTATATTCATCAATGACCTGCACAATGGGACAGAGTGCAAATTTGCTGATGATACAAAGCTGGGAGGAGTGGCTGACACATCAGAAGGCTGTGATGCCATTCAGCGTGAACTGGACAGGTTGGAAGGTTGCACAGCAATAAACTTAATGAAATTAAAAAAGGGCAAGTGTAGGGTATTGTATCTGGGGAAGAACAACTCCATGTACCAGTACAGGATGGGGACTGACCTGCTGGAAAGCAGCTCAGGTGAAAAGGACCTGGGAGTCCTGGTGAACTGCACGATGATCATGAGACAGTAACATGCCCTTGTGGCCAAGAGGGCCAATGGATTCCGGGGCTGCATAAAGAAAAGTGTGGCCAGTAGGTCGAGGGTGGTTCTCCTTCCCCTCTACTCTGCCCTGCTGAGGCCACATCTGGAATACTGTGTCCAATTCTGGGCTCCTCAGTTCAAGAAGGACACAGAACTATTGGAGAAAGTCCAGCATAGAGCCACTAGGATGATGAGGTGACTGGAGCATCTCCCATATGAGGAAAGGCTGAGAGAGCTGGGTCTGTTTAGCCTGGAGGAGACTGAGGGGGGATCTCATTAATGCTTATAGTTATCCAAAGGGCAGGTGTCAGGAGGATGGGACCAGACTCTCCTTGGCTGTGCCCAGTGACAGGACAAGAGACAATGATCACAAGTACACAAGAGGTTCAACTTAAACATAAGGAAAAACTTCTTTACTGTGAGGGTGACAGAGCACTGGACCAGGCTGCCCAGAGAGGCTGTGGAGGCTCCTTCCCTGCAGACATCCAGAAGCCTCCCGGACACCTTCCTGTGTGACCTGGTCTGGGTGATCCTGCTCTGGCAGGCAGGGTGAACTAGATAATCTCTAGGGGTCCCGGTTCTAACTCCTACCATTCTGTGATTCTGTGATTTTACTGAATCTGTTTTTGTGCCAAAAAACTTTCTCTACAAAGTAACATTTCAAAATTTTGAATCTGGAAGATTCTAATTGGGTAATACATTTAAAGCAGGCCAATATACCTGCCTTACACTGGCATATTTCACCTAACTCACTACTGCTCTTACAGGCATAAAGAGTATTTTCTTTAGATGCACCAGCAAAGTTTTCCAGACATATATCAAAATTTACCCTTTTTTAAATGTCACCTGAAGTTGAGCAATAAAGACAATGTGAAGACAGCTATGAAGCTTCAAGCAAATTATCTGGTAACTGTCAAGTCTCAGAAGGCTGGAAATCCAAAAGAATCCAGGCAGCCGAGAGGAAAGGAAAGGAAAGACAGGGAAAAATGCAAAAACACTTCAGAAATTCTATCTCCTTGTTACATTTTTTCTTTTTTTTTTTGTACCTTAAAAAGAATATCCCACCAAAAAAAATTTGTGCAAAACACAACTCAACAGATGTAAGACTGGTTGTGAGTTTAATCTGAGCCAAAACTACTCTGAGCACACAGTATGTGCTCTCTGTTGCCTCTAAAAAGGAATTTAATGTTAACTCCAATGAAAAAAAATCCAAAGCTCTGAAGAGAAGAGGGGAAACCAAAGGGTTATTTCTCTTTAACGCAAAACAGGTTCTTGAGGCTTTTAGATTTTGCTACTGATTTTTTCCATTTATTTGCACATTATAATTTTAAGGATTATCTTTTGAAAATCGCTGCACAAACATGCTAGAAGTACAAAAAATCAAAAAGCAAATATAGAGCTCAAATGCACAAGAGAGATGTTGTGGCTTAAAAATTGACTGTGCTTCAGCTAAGCTGCTGTAATAGTCAAACGTGCAAGCCAACACATTCTTTCACATTTGCAAATCCTAGAATCCTAGTCAAGATATACTTCTGTCTTTTTAGTCAGGAACATCCAATACTTCTAACTTAGTACTTTACAAATCCATTACCATTCCCATTTGCTGTTTGGAGTTGCACTTACATTTATTCCTTTAAATTATTATGATGATTTCACATGGCATAAGCATATTACCTGTCAGATAATGACACTAGAAGAAGGACATGGGATGGAAAACAAGGACCATCACTATCTGCAAGCTGGGCTTTCATGAATTTGTTACCCAATCCTCATGTTTTACTCATGTAAAAGTCCCACGAAAGCTAGGGCTTCGAGAGCCACCCCTGCCCATCCTGAGTACTGTATGCGAAGGTGTTTTATCTGTGGTAGGACACTTAAAAGACAAGTTCTGAAGGCTCTGTTCCTCTGAAACATCAGCTTTTTGCAGAACTAGGGCCCAAGTTAGTATTCCACCATATTTACCTCTTTCATATTCATCCTTGACCTATGTATTTCAGATATCCAGGCAATTAAACTAATGGTGTTGTCATCTCTAGAAACAACAAAGGTAATTTTTACTGTCATCTGAATTCTTTACATGCCCTATTAATAACCGACAAATGATTTTTTTTGTGTGTGTGACTGACAACTGGAAAAAGTGCACTTCTGCTAGGATGAAAACAATCACCAATCAAAAACTGTCCCACTGACCTCCAGCCGTTTGATGATCTCTCGTAGAGAAAGGCTGTTCTCATGTCCTCCTATGAAGGTAGTTGTAGGAAGCTGAAAGACTTTGTCCAGATCTGATTCATGCAAACCATAAAACCCTACAACAGGTACATTATTAATTTGCTAAGCAGGGTAGGAGAGAAAGAGGAAACCATAACTGCTTTTCAAACAACTGCGAATTAAGTTTAATAAAGCAATATTAAGAAAGAAGGTAGCAGATTAAGAATTGAAAGTGTGAATATTTTAGAGGCACCCATTAGTACAATCCACTTTAGTCTGGATTTTAAAAAAAAGAATGTTTTATTTAAACAGTTTTTATGCAGTTAGAAGTACCAAACCATTCCTTCTTAAAAGCTTAGGCAGAACAACTGAAATGAACATCACCCAAACCTTTTTATATTTTAGCATATTAGCATATATGCCACCCATTCTCCATATTATATCCTGCACTTCACTGTTTAGTAAAATAACCAACTGTAATGATCAGGATTTCTTCCTTGCTCTATTATGAGCAACAAACACAGAAAGAAACACTATTCACAGACAGAACTAGTCGGTTGGATTAATTTATACAACATTAATAGACAGACTAAGAGAACGTGTTCAATGTAACGCTGTGCAAACACTCTGGTAGAGCTTCCAAGGTACCTCTGTTCAGACTCTCTCTCTTTATAGGAAAGTTACTTTGAAACAGCCGTGTAATGACCTGTACAGCCCTATTCCCAATCGGTGACCTCTTAACAGACAGATCTCCACACACACACTCCCTCAGCCAAAACAAGGGTTTGTTTAAGCGTATCATCCCGTCTCGACTTAGACACACATAAACTTGTTCTGGCTCAGAACAGGATTTAAGTAAATATTTAACTTAAGTATTATGCAGTTTCAAAAGCCAAAATACACAAAAAACAGAACTGAAAGACTGATATCGATGCAAGTTAAAGGCTTTGTACGATAAAGCTTAATCTAGACGTGTTAAATGAAGAAAGGAAAAGAAGCTTCTTACAACTGTAAGAAGCAAATGTACAAAACTTTTAATACACATTACCTGTAGTTATAGAAAATTATACACATAAAAAATGTGTGTACCCATGTGAAAATATTCTAAAAACTAGCTTATTTTTAATTTTGAACTCTTTATCTTAGTGACAGATAAGTTGCAAGCATCCACTTTAACACTTCTCTGACAGCCTACACATAACTCTTAAATCAATACAGAGTAGTGCTCCATATTCCCTGTGAAATGAATTTTATGAAGACGAAAGAATAGCAGCAATTTAAAGATTAAATAATAACGGAACTTAGCATTTAGAGTTGAAGTCAGGCCATAGGACTGCATTGCCACCACTTTTACTATACAGCACTGCCAGTAATAATACTTTCTGTGTTTTAAAAACACGTATTTTAAATATTTTTATATTATTTTTAAACATGTATTTTAATAATTATTTTAATAACATATTAAAAAGTCAAATCTGGAGTGACAAAGTGGTTCTGGTACCGTAATGGGTTTTTCCAGCACCAAATTAATTTATTCGTTATGTTCTTCTATAATGCCAAAAAAAAGAGAAGGAGGGACATAGGGGTCAACAGGGTCTCTAGTGTCATTTGAAACTTTGTCTCTTCTTCCCCTCTCCTTTGCTGACTTCCAGACTTCACAGGTTCTTCGTGTTCTGTCACGCAAAAACTAGAACCTGTACAGGAGTGATCCGGGCGCTCACAGAACATCTGTGCTCTGTCCTGCAGCATTACTGAAGAACCACCTCATGTCTACAGAGATGCAACCTTACTGAAACCCAAGAGTTCCTGACACAATTCTAGAACTTGAATCGTGCAGTAGGTACACCTGGCTGCATTTTTAGAAGCAACTACCAGAAGGTTTCTCAGAAAAAGAAACCAGAAGGTGGGACAAAGAAAATGCACAGAAACATCAAATACTAAAATACTTTCTGTACTACCAGAGAACTTCCATAAGTTTCCTGCCTGGAACATTCAAGGACAGGCAGTATTTGAGATCCTTCCCTTTTTTTGCTGTGTCAAGACTACGTTAGAAATTTTGTTTCCCCTCACAAACTGAAATATCACCTCAGTTACACTCGCAGACACATCCCCCCATCTCATTCACAGGTCTAGTGTATTTTTCCCATGCTCATGAGGGTATCACTATGATGCCTTCTGACCAGCTACCACGCTCGGTACTAAGCTATCTGTAGAGTTTAAATAAATTTGTGTTTACGTGCCAGCAATCACCCACGCTCCAAACAAATTATATTTACTCAGGAAATGTCAGTGTATTTTCTAGCAGGTACCTCCCTTTAATTAAAGCTGACAAACTTCAAAGACAACCCCTGATTTGTGTAAGCACCTCTTAATTACAGTCTTTATATGAACAAGGGCCAGACTGCTTCTTTCC